CGATCGCTGTCAACTTTGGTTTCGCTAGACATTATGGTGGAAAGACGGTATGTTCGATTTTGGATTGGAATGGGGGGTGCTGCTAACGATTGCGAAGATCCTTAGGTATTCCTCCCATCGTGCCCGACTCGAGTGAGCAACGCGACTAATGATTAGATTCGATGATACCAACCCGGAGGCTGAGGAGGAGAAATACTTTGTGGCTATTGAGGAGATCATTCAGTGGCTAGGTATGAGGCGCACATCGAGGTGGTGAATTGTGTGTGCTGACAGGGTCGATTCACAGGCTTCAAGCCGACCGCTATCACCCATTCGAGCGACAACTTCCAGAAGCTCTACGACCAGGCTGAGAAATTGATCACCATGGGCAGAGCCTACGTTTGCCACTGCAGCGACACCGAGATTAAGCTTCAGCGTGGAGGAGAGAACCACGGCCCCAGATATCGCTGCAAGCACGCCGAGCAGGATGTCGAGACAAACCTCCAGAAATTCCGGGATATGAAGGCTGGCAAATACGAGCCCCAGACCGCTTTCTTGCGCATGCTCCAGGACATTGAGGACCCCAACCCTCAGATGTGGGATCTGGCCGCATACCGCATTCTCAAGCAGGAGCACTTCCGCACCAAGAACGAGTGGTGCATTTACCCCACCTACGATTTCGTATGTAAAGGTCTAGCATGTTTGATGATGTTTGCTAACACTGCACTAGGCCCACTGTCTGTGTGATAGCTTCGAGAACATTACGCACAGTCTGTGCACGACCGAGTTTCAGCTTTCCCGCACTTCCTATGAGTGGCTGAACAGCACACTGGGCGTCTACGAGCCCATGCAGCGCGAATACGGTCGCTTGAACGTCAGTGGTACCGTCATGTCGAAACGTAAGCTGAAGAAGCTGGTGGACGACGGATACGTCCGCGGCTGGGATGATCCCCGCCTGTACACGCTGATTGCTCTTCGCCGTCGTGGTGTGCCCCCGGAGGCGATCCTCTCCTTCATCAACGAACTTGGTGTGACCACTGCCCTTAGTCTGATCAAGATCTCGCGCTTTGAGCAGACGGTTCGGACATACCTCGAGAGCCGTGTTCCCCGGTTGATGCTTGTGATCGACCCTGTTCCGGTGGTCATTGAGGACTTCGAGACGGTTGAGGATGGCCAGCTCAACTGCGATATTCCTTTCTCCCCCAAGAACCCTGCTATGGGCACTCACGAGATTCGCCTGACCAAGACGATTTACATCGATCGGTCCGATTTCCGCGAGGAGGATGCCAAGGGCTACTTCCGTCTGGCCCCCGGCAAGAGCGTCGGTCTCTGGCGCGCACCCTACCCCGTCAAGGCCACCACTTTCACCAAGGATGCTGACGGTAAGGTCACCGAGATTCGCGCTGTTTGGGATAAGGAGGGCGGTAAACCCAAGACCTACATCCAGTGGGTCCCAGATAACTCGCGCAAGGTGGAGGTTCGCATCCACGACCCGCTCTTCAAGTCGGAGGACCCCGGTGCTGCCGAGGGTGGCTTCTTGAAGGATATCAACCCCAACAGTGAGACCATCTACAAGGATGCTCTGATTGAGGCGGGCTTCGATGAGGTCCGTCGGAGGGCTCCTTGGCCGGAGGCTGCCGGCGAGAAGGAGAAGGGCAAGAGTGGACCGGAGAGTGTCCGTTTCCAGGGCATGCGTGTGGCCTACTTCGTGAGTCACTCTTTCATGATTGCTGGATGACCGTTTGCTAATAATATCTTAGGCTGTCGATTCGGATTCCACAGAAGACCGCGTCGTGCTGAACCGCATCGTGTCTCTGAAGCAGGATGTTGGGCGCAACTAGATGCTGGGAAGTATGCTCGAGAATGTGATAAACATGCGGAAGCGGCGCTGCCCGATGGTCTTCAGGTGCAAGATTACGGAAATGCATCACCCTGATAGCCGTCTATAGTACCTGCATGGGTAGTTCGGCGCTAGTTGTCAGCCTGCAGAAATGTGGGCGCATAACTGGGTGAGAAGCTTGGTCTGTTGAATGGTGTGTTTTTAGCGTGATGATTCTTATGCAGAGTTGAGGAGTGCCAAGGTGTTGTTGATAAGGTACCGTGCAGGATTTAGATAGTCATAAATGAAGTTATAAATGAAATGGCAGGGAGTTATATCAGCCTGTGCTATACATTCTTAATCTTAGAATTCCGCCGGCTCCCGAGTGAGGTAACATCGTCCCGAGTCCCCTGCCTTCTTGGCTGCAGCATTGCTCAAGGGGAACGTGGGTGTTATCATTTCCCCTCACTGGTCCAACTCTCACTTTCGCAAGCGCAAACACTTCCCCTCTCATCTGCCATCATGAGACACTGCTTCTCTGGAAGCACATATAAACCACCGTGATGGCTGCTATCTAGTACTCAGATCAATGAAGCACACACCAAGACCGCCATTTCACAAGATGCGCACTCCCTCACTTTCCACGGTCGCATTGCTCGTGCAGACCGCGGTCGCAGTCACCATCAACGAGATCACTGGGGAGCGGTACATCTCTCCATATGCCGGGACTCAGGTCACTGGTCTTGAGGGTCTGGTGACTGCCAAAGGTTCCTCTGGGTTCTATCTGCGCTCCACCAGTCCCGATTCTGACGACAAGACCTCGAACTCGGTCTATGTCTATGGAAGCAGCGCGACCACGAGCGTCACCGTGGGAGACATCGTAACCCTGAGCGGCAAGGTCACAGAGTATCGGTCCACGTCAAGCTATGTCTACCTGACCGAGATCGAGTCCGCGACCGACATCACGGTGGTCTCAAGCGGCAACACGGTGACTCCCATTGTGATCGGTGGAAAGGGACGGAGCCCTCCCACAGAGCAGTTCACATCGCTCGACAACGGGGACCCGTTCAGCCTGCCAGGAAACAGCAGCCAGCTCTCGACGGCCAATCCGGTCTTAGATACCACCGCTTACGGGATGGATTTCTGGCAGAGTCTCAGCGGAGAGTTTGTTAGCTTGTCGGGTCTGACAGCCATCTCGAAGGCCAGTTCGTACGGCGATACTTGGGTCATCGGGGACTGGACAGTCTCAGGGAAGAATGAACGTGGAGGGTTGACGATGACTGCCAATGGTAGGTTGCTCCGAGCCCTTTCATCAAGAGCTTTGATCACTGACTCGTGTGTCGTTAGACTCTAACCCCGAAGCACTAATCATCGGCTCGCCTCTTGATGGAAGCAAGAACCCGACCGACGTCAAGTTGGGAGATACGCTCGGGGATATCACCGGCATCATCACTCAGGCGTACGGCTACTACGCCCTGCTACCGTCGACCGCGTTGTCCGTGACAACATCGAACGCGACCGAAATACCCAAGACCGCGTTGGTCTCGAATAAGAAATGTAAGATCACCTTTGGCGATTACAATGTGGACAACCTGGGGCCGGACTCGTCGACGCTCCCTGGCGTCGCTGGCCATATTGCAAATCAGCTGCAAAGCCCAGATATCGTCTTTCTCCAAGAGATTCAGGATAATGATGGTTCGACAAATGACGGTGGTATGTGCTTCCTATCTCGGTTGGATAAAATCATGACGCTGATTCTTGCTCAGTGGTATCGGCCAATGTGACACTCTCAACGCTGGTCAGCTCGATCGCCGAGCAGGGCGGAGTGCAGTATGAATTCTTCGACATCGATCCGGTCGATGGCACTAACGGCGGCGAAAGTGGTGGCAATATCCGATGTGCTTACCTGTACAATCCTGAGGTCGTGCAGCTGCGCGACGCTAACCCAGGCACCAGCACGGCGGGCACGGCTGTTGAATCCGGAGGCACGTTGAGCTACAACCCGGGGTTAATTGATCCCACAAATGAGGCCTGGGACGCGAGTCGGAAGCCCCTGGTGGCGCAGTGGGAGAGGGCGGATGGGAGGAACACCTTCTACACCATCAACGTGCACCTGTCCTCCAAGTACGGCAGCACGTCTCTGGAAGGCGACCTCCGGCCACCTGTCAACGGTGCTGTGGAGAAGCGAGCTTCGCAGCTTAGTGTGATTGCGGTAAGTCTCGGTGAAATTGCCATGTTCCCCCCGAAGCTAGTTGACACTAATCATCTTGGTGCAACCAGGACTTTGTGAGCACTCTTTTCGCGGAGGTAGCCGACGCTAGAGTCATTGTGGCCGGAGATTACAATGAGTATTCGTTTACGGACATTTTCAACGTGTTCACAGAGGTGGGCCTGCAGGAGATCGATGAAGTCGCTGGTCTTGCGGCAACGGAGCGATACACCTACCTATATGACCAGAACAGTGAGCAGCTGGATCATATGTTTATCAGTTCGGCGCTGGCCACAGGTGCAAAGGTGGAACATGTCCACGTGAACACATGGGTCTCAACCGCAGACCAGAGTTCCGATCACGATGCGACAGTAGCCCAAATGAACGTTTGCCAATAACTGGCGACAGCCTACCAATATACTAGCGGACTAGCGAAATCAAGGACGGCTAGATCGCATTCTCTCGTGTTCTCATCTCCACTAATCTAACTGTTACGTGATAAGATCCGTGCATTCTCAGCTGTAATCACCAGCGTTCACGCCAATTATTGCCGAGATGGGCCTGGTAGATGTTTCCCGGGACAAGCATCGGCTGGGGTTGCAACGCAGCGAATGCGACAAACCATCTGGAAGGAGAGGATCCGTAACATGGCAGGATGCTGGTAGCGAGGGCCACAGCAAACCTTTCCACGTGGGCGGGCCTAGGCCGCGGCTTTCCTGGGTGGTGCGCTGGAGTTTTGGATGGAGGGAAATTTTTCTACCCGAGCGCTCGGGCACGCGAAGGCTCCACTGCAAGCATGGAATCCCGATCGATAGTCAATCTTGAATCAGTCCGTCTGTAGCCGGCAAACCAATCAGCGGTTAAAGAGCCTGCTTCGGCCGATGGGACAGTGGGTCGCAGAGTAGTGACCACTGGTGAGGGGAGAGGGTCTGTAACACCCGTGTTCCATGGTTCAAGCCAGGCACTTTTTCTGATCTCTGCCCCGAAGGGAACGTCATTTCGCCCACGCCGTGTTTGAGATGATAAAGAAAATGTCTTCCCCGGCCCAGCGCGGCAGTCTGGGATTCTGAAATTCTCACCCCTGCTCACCACCATGGCCGAAGATCGCAGCTTAGCCGTGCGTGCGGTTGCCGCGGTCTTCCTGGCCCTGGCAACCATCACGACTGTCCTGCGATGCTATGTGCGCTTTCGCATCGTCAAGGCGTTTGGCTGGGACGATGGAATTATGGTACTGGCCTACATCTTCTATGCCTTTTTCTCCGCCTGCATGATTGGTGGTAGTCTTTGGGGGACGGGCAAACACCTCGCTCAACTGGATAACCACCATCGAGTGACCGCTATGAAGGTATATCTCCTGCGAACAATGCAGCACGCAGGATACTCGATGCTGACTGAGTTGCTCTAGTATTGGTTCTATTGCGACATCGGCTATGCGATTGGCTCCATCTTGTGCAAAATCTCCGTATCGATTTTCATTCTACGCATCACCATTCACCGAGTTCACCGAATCGTCATCGGAGTCGTCGTCGGCCTTGTCGTCGCTGCTGGGTTTGCGTTCTTCGTAATTCTCCTAACACAATGCAAGCCAATGGCCTTTTGGTATCTTCGTCTTAGCACTGAGGAGGTCGGCAAGGGCACTTGCATATCCACACACGTCGCGATGGATGCGCTCTATGCCTTCAGCGCAACGTCGGCTGTGTTCGACATGACGATCGCGGTTCTCCCTATCCTTCTGGTTCGGAAGCTGAAGATGCAAAGTGATGTGAAAATCGCGGTGGCTGGTCTGCTCAGCATGGCCTGCGTGTATGCAATCCGGTTCCGTTTGTCAGACACCTGCTAATCCCTACCAGGGCGTCCGTCGCCGTCATTGTCCGCATCCCGTACATCCCGACGCTCCTCAAGACCGACTTCCTGTACGAAACCACCCCGGTCGCCATCTGGTCGAACATCGAGACCGGCCTGGGGATCTTCGCCGGCAGCATGGCCACCCTCCGCCCCCTGCTGCGCAAGTTCCGCCCCTCGACCTACCAGAACACCTGGCCCAGCTCCTCGCGCGGCAAGCGCAGCAAGTCGATGCCGCTGCAGTCGAGCCAGCGGCAGGACTCGGACCGCATCCCCTTGGAAGATCGTTTGTACGGCACCACCTTTTTCACCGTCGAAGCGGGTAATGATCGGTATTCTTCCACAGGGCTGGACCAGGTTCCGATATTGCCGAAGGAGACATACATGCCGCAGATTAGCGTGAAGCGGGAGGTCCATGTGACGACTGTTTAGGCCGGACGAGACGAAGTCTGAGGTCGGAGAGCCGCGAACACGCGCACAGCAAGGACCGCAATCTAGTCCTGCTCGGTCGAGCCACATAGGACAGTCCTCCGTTACTGAGATTCAAGATAGAATTTATTTTCCTCAGAAGGGTTGTGGGCAAACGCCAACCACGCATCATGCAACTGGTTGGGACCACGCCGTGTCATTAGACACTGCAGCAGCAAAAGACCGCTCCACTGGGGATCTTGGCGAGTCTCTCGAGACTTGGCAGGCGGAGCATGAAACCCCGGGCATGAGTTTGAAGACAGTACGAACGTTGTTGGTTGAGGACTAGCAATTTCTACAGCCATCTCCCCCAGCGCATCAGCTACCACATCCCACGGCCGGTGTAGCACGCCGAGGTCAACAACATCACAATGAATTATTCCCCGATCGACCACACTGCCTCCGGTCGCATCGATGTCATGACTATATAGAATATAATGTTTACTTTGTCTATCCCTGCTTTATTCCTTCCCGCATCCCAACTCAACATCCGCAAGTAAGCTGCGACCAGATATCTTCAATGTCCCACGGTGTATAGATCAGATAAGATGCGATCGGCATGAGCTACTGAACGAAGTGGACACCTGCACTTGGATCGAAGCTAGAGCTGGGAGCATCAACGTGGAAAAGCGATCAGCACGCGGATGGGGTTGTGGGCGATCGGCAGCTGGAGTTGCCGAAAGGGGAATGCGAAAAGAAAATTTCGACATTCTTCATGCTCCTCTTTTTCCATCCGATGTGTCCACAGCTGCGTCCATGCTTGGTACTAAGTATCAGAACTCGACGATTGAAAAACCCACAGCGCCAGCATAAGTCTAAACCAGGGCCTGTCTGCGGATGACGCCCGCTGGCCAGAGTTGGTCGAAACACCCTCAGCGGGCCCAGCGTACCAGCAAGACCCATACTTGCACCTTCTCAAGCACTATTTCAATCATGTCGGTTAAGCACTTTTGCTGTTAGGCTCATGTGGTCATATTGGATAGTCAATCCGATAAGAAATGCAACCATCTTCTGCCACATGTATTTCACTGCATGTGGCACATTTCCGAAGACCATGCAATACCCTTGATCCCGAAGCAAGTATCCATATACTGATGCAAACCGGGAGAACACCTCCTCCTTGCAACTTCCCAGTGACCTCAATCTTGAGTACTGGGGGGTATACCGTCCCGGGGGAGAACCCCCGGACCCCCCTTTCTTTCAGCTCCCCAGCAACCTCAACCTCATCCCCGGCCCCAATCTACAGCCAGAGCAAGCTGTGGTGAGAGCTCAAATGGCACTGCGCACGGCACACTTCTCCGAGTACCAAGTAAAGCCCACATCACGTGACCACATATGGAGGAGCCACCCAAACCACTAAAGAGAGCAAAAGATGGACACCTCAGGCAGCACAATGTAGGTCTCGTCAAAAAAACAGCCGAGGTCAAACAAAACTGCATACTATGGAATGACCATTCTCGCGCGTGCATAAAACTCCCTGTACAATACACAATTCGCAACGAACTCGGCAGTAAACCCCTGACCCTTCCCCGGATAACCCGGGCCCCGAACCCCTTTCCCTCACCCAGTCCCTCGCTCCAAGCCCCCCTATCCCCCCTTTATCAAATCGAGCCATGCCCCGCCGTCTCAAACGGCAACCCCCAACACACCACCCCAACAACCACCCACAGCGCAGCCGAGGCATAGATCGGGGCCGGGGTGAACCCCGTCTGCGAGGCGACGAGACTGGCGCACAGGCCGCCGAAGCGCAGCAGGCTCGCCGCCGTGCCGGTGCCGGTGCCGCGGTGAGGCGCGGGGAAGGATTCCGGGGTGAAGGCGTACATGATTGCGTATTCTGCCGTGGGTCATTAGCATGAGTGTTACACGTGATGGAGGAGGAGGAGGAGGTGTCGCGGAGCTCCACTGGGCCAAGCAAGAAAGGAGGCACGCACCAAAATTCCCCAACATGCCCGTGACGCACGCGAACGCCAACGAGGACGTGGGGTTGCTGACGCCCACGTAGGCAAACAGGAACACGCCCGTGACGACGGACGAGAGGCCCATCATCCATCTGCGGCCGAAGATCGTGGTGACCAGGTATGCCGCGGACAAGGGGCCGACGACGCCGACGGCGGATTCGATGCAGTAGTTGCGGTAGGTGGTGGTTAGCGAGGCCGAGGAGGTGAATTTCGTGGCCAGGTAGGAGGGGAGGAAGTTGAAATAGAGCGGGTAGGCGATTCCTTTTCCTCAGGTATCAGTATGGCTGGGGGAGGGGGTTGGGTTTGACGGTAAGGGTGCACGAACCGATGGTCAGCCAGATTCCCCAGATGATCACGGTGTGCCTGCTCAGCAACTTGGTGGCGAAGAGAGCGCGGTAGTGTTCCCCCTTGAAGTCTTTCATGTTCTCGCGGAGGATTTCGGTCGTCGACAGGGCGGACGACGTCGTGGTTGGTATGCCGAGTCGGGCGTCGATGTCCTGCAGCATGCTCAGGGTCAACGGCGGCGGTTTGCCGTTCGCCGTCGCGACGTGGTTGACGGCGTCCACGGCGGCTTGGTCGCGGCCCTTGGAGAGGAGGTATCGCGGGGTCTCGGGGAGTGTAAACACGAAGGTGCGGATGAGGGTGAAGGCCAGCGAGAGGCCGCCCAGGGTTATGAGCGTGTATCTCCTGCCGACTGCATTAGCACCACGCCGTGTCGAGGCTTCATGATAGACAGCTCACCACCCCATATTATCCCCCCGACGACACGTCTCCGGCGTCGAATCCGCCGCACAGCTGAAGTTGGCCAGAAACACCCACGCCACCAGCGAGACAATCAGCTGGCCCAGATTCCACCACGCAGAGAGCGCAGTCAGCAGCCATTGGTGACTGTCCTGTCCTGTCAGCACAGCACACTTCGCACCACGATCAACGTTCGAAAACCTCACCTCCCCGGCACAAACTCCAGAAAGATCATACTATCCACCGGCACATTCCCCCCGGCCGCCGTGCCCACCATCGCCCACATCGCGCTGAACCCCACGAAGTTCATCGTCCCCGCTGCACCGCAGAGGAAAATCCCGGCAATGAGCAACGTGCAGTTGAACGCGGGCCTGCGGCCGATCAGATCGCTGGAAATGCCCCAGAAGGACGCCCCCAGGATCAGGCCGATGTAGTAGGCGACCGAGCTGTAGCTGACCTGCACGATGCCGGGGAATTCGAGTTCGATGGGCGGTTGCACGGCGCTGATACCTTGGGATGCAAACTGACTCGTCAGTGGATGAAGGAGTGTACTCGAGGGGGACGTACGTTATCCACGATCCATCCAAACCCCGTGACCACGAAGAGTTTCCATTGGAAGCTGTGCACGTTAGTGTCGTGTCGTCTGACGATGAACAGGAGGCAGCGTACCGCCCCATCCCGATCTCCTCCATGCATCGCCCGACCAGTTCCGACTTGAGCCGGTATGCTTCCGTCGTGGACGTGCCGTAGAACTGCTGCACGTCCGGGTCGTCGAAGATCACGCCTTTCGTTTCGGCTTCGAGGCTGTGGTTGTCATTCTCATGGCGGGACTCTCGGATCACGTCTGCGGTGTCTTTCTCCTGCTTGATGCTTTGGCTCTCGATATCGAGAGGGGTTTGCTGGACGTTGTCCATGGTGCTGTCTTCAGACTTCTCGGGATAAACGACTAAGTGATCACGTATCATGTCTTGTAGCATCGACGACTGCCCGCTACCCTCTCAAATACCATACCCGCTGAGTTAGGGCTGGCGGTGCATGGACCACCTCCGCATTACGCAGCAACAGCCACGGGGATCTTATCGACTCCCAAGGGTGGGGGGTTGATATCAAGCCTCCACTTCTGAAGGCAGTATAGCACGTCCCTCTATTACCCATCCTCCACCTGATTGGCAGGATGGGATGCAGGTGTCTCGAGGTGTGGCGAGAACAACGCAGTAGAAACTTGGTTGGAAGAGTACCGTAAATGACATGGGTTAACCTAGATGATTTGATAAAGGCTCATATGTACAACGCAAGCTAGGCAGCGAACTACGCCCCAACAGCCGCCACCGGCGCCATCACCTCCATCTTCGCCTTCATCTCCTGCTTGTACCTCTCCGCCCGCCCGTAGCTTTCCTTGTACGACGCCGTCACCATATCCTCGACCGTGATCGGCGGGTACTTGGGGTCCTCGGCCGGCTGCCGGCAGTTAGGCAGACACTCGCACAGGTAATCCGGGTTCCCGCTGAAAAAGAACGGGATGCTGTAGCGCTCTCTCCCAGACTTGTTGATCACCCGGTGGATGTTGGATTTGTACCGGTCGTTGGCCATGCGCATGAACAGGTTGCCCAGGTTGACGACGTAGGCGCCGGGCACGGGTTCGACCTTTCCCCGTTAGTATTCGTCAATTTCCTAGCAAGACCCAGGCAAGAGACTTACATCCAGCCATTCGCCGGTCGGCGCGTCCAGAACTTGCAGCCCGTCCACCTCGTCCTGCAGCAGTAATGTAATGCAGCCAAAGTCGGTGTGTGCGCCAATCCCCCGGTTCAACTTCTCGTCCGCGTCCTTCGGCTGGGCCGGGTAATGCAGGTATCGCATCGTGGCGACCGCCCCGTCGGTCAAGGGGTCGAAGTAGTCTTCCGACACATCGAGCGTCAGCGCCAACGCGCCCAGCACGTCCTTGGCCAGATCGAACACCGCGTGGTAGTATTCCATGGTCGTGCGCTCGAACTCCTCCTTGTCGGGGACCGTGGGCGGCCACTGGTTGGGGCCGCTGTTCAGCTTCTTCTGCACGAAATAGGGGTGGTCCTCGGGAATCTCCTCGCCCACGTAGTATCCCTCTTTCAACTCGGGCCCGGTGCCGACTTCGAGCATCTGCGATCGGAGCAACTCGTAGCCACGGTTCCAAGTGTTATGATCTACCGCAACTGTGCATTAGCATGGGAAAGAAACAAGCAGTCGAAGCACGTACTCTTGTCAACCAAAACCTTCTCCTCGAGGGGCAGATCGAAGAATCGTTTCGTGCAGCTCATGACGCGCTGCTGGAGCTCGCGCGATACGCGGTGGCCCGTGATCTGGAAGAAGCCATTGTACAGACAGCATTCGCGGATCTGATCGACAAGCTGTGCCTTTGCAGCGCTATCGCCGCCGTAGAACACGGAGAAATCAAGGATTGGAGGGGCACTGGGAGACATCTTGCTGACTGAGCTGGGAAACACGAGCTTGAATGGGTGAGGGGTTGATTGCCATTGTCCAGAGAATATATCCTTTATCGCGGGCATTATCGCTGATTGAGGGGTCACTATCGTGGATAATACTCGGAACGAATACCGAGGGATCTGAAGCGAGCAGTTCAGCAGCGGACAAGAGTGGGGGCTGCGAAGAATGGGGAACAAACAGGCCAGACCACCGTCTACGATAAGACTGATAGCATGGATGCGGGGAAAGTCGAAATGGGAATAGTGGTTTATCAGAAGGGATATCGATAGGCAGGGTGGGTTACACCACAGATGCAAGGGAGATATCACTATTGGATATATCACCTCGCCGCCTCGTCCCAGCCATCGCAAGGGGCGCGGTGTAACTTCCATTGCCAGCATCATGTCATCCATCGACAAGGCCGAGAAAGGTGCGCCTCTGCCATTAGAGTCCGAGATGAAGACCGGCCAAAATGAGGTCTATATTGACCACGAAGCCGAGAGATCAGTTGGTATGTCGATCGCTGCGCTACGAGACCAGCCCTAACCGGTCGCAGTGCGGAAGGTGGACATGTTTGTGCTTCCCTTGCTCTGTTTAGTGAGTATGCAGACTATCATACCAGACTGCAGAAAACTGACCTAGATAGATGTATTTCTTCGATTGCATGGATCGGGTAAGGCCAGCCCTCTGCTTGAGCTGGACCTTGGACATTAATTGTAGCAGAGCAACCTGGCCAATGCGAAAACCGACGGACTCGACGGGGATATCCATCTCAAGGGCAATGACTATTCGCTGCTCGTGCTCCTCTTCTACATCCCCTTTGGTCTTTTCGACCTGCCATGGAATCTCCTCCTCAAGCGCTACTCCGGTCGCATCACGTTGTCGTTCAGTAGGTTCAGTCACTGGCACGATGTGGATCAAAGCTGACCGCGAAGTGACCGTCGTATGGGGAATCCTCGCCCTGTGCCAATGTGCAGTGAAGAGCTTTGGCAGCATGATTGCCGTGCGGATGATCTTGGGGTAAGCGACCGGCCCAAACATGCAGGGTCGGCTACTGATCGTCTCAGTGTCTTTGAAGCAGGCTTCTTCGCCGGTGCAACTTTCTACCTGACTCTCTTCTACACCCGCGACCAGATGGGTTTCCGCCTGGCCATAATACAGTGCTTTGCCGTCCTTGCTTCGGCATTCAGCGGACTCATCTCTTTCGGGGTGTTCCAGATCAACGACCCCGCCGTCAAAGGGTGGCAGTGGCTGTTCATTATCGAGGGCAGCATGACTTTCCTGACCGGCATTGTCTCGTTCTTTTGTCTACCCGACGGACCTCAAAAGGCCTGGTTCTTGTCGGAGCGAGAGCGAGCGGCTGCCACCGCCCGAATCCTGCGCGACACCTCGGCTGAGGTTGAAACAGGGCTGAACCTCAAGACCGCGTTTCAGATGTTCTCTGACTGGAAATTCCTGGTCTGGTGTGTGATCTGCTTCACGTATCCAGTAGCCTATGCGACAGCCATGAACTTCTTTCCCTTGGTAAGTCACGGTCACACATCTGCGAGAAAGACTGCTGACCCCCTAGATCGTGGGACGTCTCGGCTACTCGACCGTCAAAACCAACCTCTGGACCGTCGCCCCGAATTTAGTAGGCGCCGTAGTGCTGCTGTGCGTCGCATGGTCATCCGACTACTTTCGCGAGCGAGGATTCCACACGGTCTTCTCATTGGTCCTGTCACTAATCGGGATGATCATTCTGGCGACCATCGACGTGCTGAACAACAAAGGTGTGGCGTACTTTGCCTGCTTCCTTATGGCAGCAGGAGCCTACATCCCCTCGTGTCTGGTCCATGCCTGGCACAACAACAATAACGTGCACGAAAGCTCCCGCGCGGCCAATACAGGCTTCCTGGTCGGGTTAGGAAACCTGGCCGGAGTGCTGAGCGCAGCAACTTTCCGCACGGAATATGCCCCCAAGTAGGTTCCTTGACACCCTCAGCAGTACCAAGCTAATCATGATAGATATATCCCTACTCTCGTGGCGACGTGTTGCTGTAACGGAGTGGCCATCGTGGTGATAACGGCGTTAAGCGTGTATTTCAGGCTTGAGAATCGGCGACGAGACCGAAGCCAGGGCGTGCGACGGCGAGCAGAGGCCGTGGAGACTCGGCACTTGGCCGAAGGGGAGCGGAGTCCAGAATGGCGCTATTTTCTATAGTCCGTCAGTAGATAGATAAAGTAAGCCAGTGAACTTGGTTATCGACCCGATATCAAACCCTGACTCCGTATCTATGCTGATAAGATGGGAGGATCCGCTGGCTGTCATTCGCGTAGCGCCACCCCCTCTCTTCCCCGCTTATCAATGCGCCATCGTGCATGCATGCACCCATGCATCCGACCTCGCTAGGTATTTAAATCTTCTCAGAGTTGGGGGGAGGGCGGCGATCTGGCTACGCATCCTTTGTGTCCGTTTTTCTTCCGGCTGATAATGGCCCCTCATGAAGTCCCACGCCTGCCACTGGCCCGACTGCGGCAAAAGTTTCACGCGTGCTGAACATCTGCGACGCCATGCTTTGAATCACGAGCAAGCCCGCCAGGGCTACGTCTGTGAGCGATGCTCGGTACATTTCCACCGCCCCGACCTTCTCAGTCGCCATCTCCTACGCCATGCCAAGCGAGATGAAGAAGCTGGAGGCCCCGGGTTGGGAGTGCTGGAGACGCGCAAGAGGACGCGCCGGGCTGACAATGGTAATATCGTTGTCCGACCGCCGAAGCGACAGTCCCGAGCCAGCGCTCCAAGACACAACATGCCGGAGTGCTCTGCTTCGGAGTCAGTCGCTTCGATGGAGTTTTCATCGGCCTCCTCGTGCGCGTTGTCCGTTACCAGCTCTCACGAGTCGGACCAAATCCCTGGGGCGCCAGTATCGCCCCCTCGCTCGACAAGTGATCCGACGACGCTGTCCTTGGATGATGCAGATCCACTTCTAGCGCCCATGCTTCCGAATGGACCCTTCGAGCCATACGTTGAGCCTATACCTGGGCAATTTGACGCAGCCGATGGATCCTGGAGCTTCGAACAAGGCTCGATCGAGGACTTCTTCAATCTCGATACAGGTAAGACGTTCTTTGCTGCCTTGCAAACCAATACTAAGATCAGATAGCCACCGACTTCAACATGCCGTTTGCCGCGACGAACAACTACAACTGGCTGTTTGATGTGGCTTCTTTGGACGACGCCTTTCCTCCCCTCGATATACCGTTCGAACCAGATATGCTGGCCTGGACTGTTCCAGACCCCGATCCATCGGCCGTCCTGCTGCAGGCAGCCTCGTTTGTCGAGCGTAGCCCGGATACCTCCCTTGATTGGCTGTGCGGACTGGACACAAACACAGACAACCCTCCAGCACCCCGCCTCCCATGTCTGTCAGGAGAAGCCCGTCAAGGCCTGCTCGACTTGGTGGCTCGAAATCCGCCGTCAGGATTACATGGCAAGCCTACGCCCCTGGATTCAGCCCTTCTCTCTCTGTCAGCGCTCCAGCAGTACTGCGATCTCTTCTTCACGCGGTTCAATGCGACCTATCCACTGATCCACGCGCCCACCTTCAATCCCAACACCGTGGACCCCATTCTCCTGGGCGCGATCCTCTCCATGGGCGCCACATACAGCAGCCGCGAGGCTCATCAGCTGGCCGTGGGGATCCATGACTTCTTGCGACCTCAGCTCTTCTGCCATCTCGATTTCTCACCTCAACCACCTTTGTGGATTTTGCAAGCGATGTTGCTCATCGACTGCTTTGGCAAGATGCGGGCGGGTCCCAAGCAACGCGAACGAGCGCAGCTCTTCCACTGCGTACTGATCAAGCTCATTCGACGCAGCACCTGCTGCACGATTCGCTCGACCGCGTCCCCCGCGTTATCCGACGAGGACCTCGCAAGTAGCTGGCACCAAGCCATGGAGGCCGAGCAGCGGAAGCGGCTGGCCATGCACTGCTTAATGTGGGACGTGCAGCACGCGGTGCTCTTCTCGCAATCACTCTGCATGTCCGCTTTCGAAATCCGCGCCGCTTTACCCTGCGCGTCAGCGCTCTGGAACGCTCCGACCGCAGAAGCCTGGGCGAGAAGCTTTGCCTCGAGCCCTGATTCCGAGCCCTTGTTTCTGACCGTCTTGAAAGGCTACATCACGCCTGCAGCGGTTCCGCGACCGCGACAATTGAACCCGCTGGCGCGACTGGTGGTTCTGCACGGCCTGATGTCGGTGTCGGCGGATCTCAAGCGTCGGGATCAAACGACCCTGCGCGGCGAGGATCCGGATCGCGTGGGAAGCTGGACCCGTCGCATGGGCCGTTCGTACGAGTTATGGAAGGCAGATTTTGATGCGGACGGGCTGGCGATGAAGCTGAGTGATAGTCCACTCGGGTCGTCGGACAGCGCGGGAGTCTTTCATAGCGCGGCGCTGGTGCTGTATCGCGCAGCGCAACTGGCTCTTCAAACGGAAGTATTGGATCTGCAGATCGCAGCGGGCGCGACCAGTATTCTTGGTCGGACGGTCACCCAGACTGATCGCGACCGGTCGGCTCGGGCTTTGGGCCACTGGGTACGTTCGGAGTCAGCGATGCAAGCGGCGAAACAGGCCGCGTGGATGGTTCGGGAGGCTGTTTCCGGCCGTCAGGGCAATTGGGAGGCTATGGACGCGTTTCATTTTCCGTGGTGTTTGTACCTCGGAACGTTGGCCTGTTGGGCTGTGCATGGAGGAGGAGTGCACGAGCTGGGAGGGCAGCGCGTGAGTCTCGATCTGGCAAGTCTGCTGGTGTCTTTGACCGGAGAGAGAGTAAATGAGGGGCCTCGATATCAGTATGATATGCGTGGGTTGATTCGGTCAATGGCACAGCAATTGGCCACAGTTCGCTGGACGGTGGTGCATGAGGCGATGAAGGTGCTGACGGGGTTAGTGGAGAGTTAGCTATCAATTACCTATCAGCTCAACCCATCAATGAAGCTAAGGTACCCATGT